ATCATAGTTGCCCTATCTTAAAAGTTAAATATTAAATACATTTTCTAAGTAAATCTTTCTATCTTTCCAAAAAAACTATACTAATAAGTTTAAATCTTTATATCTAGATTTTATTTTGGTCTATCAGTGTATTCACAGATTTTTAAAATTAACTTTAGTGTTAAACCGTGGTGGTCTTTAGTTTTTTTTTATTTTACTCTTTTTATTTAGGGAGGGACAGAAATCAGGTGATTTCAATTTACTAAGAGGCTATACCCCCACCCCCACCTGATTCAAAGATTAGCTAATTAAATTTAATTACAAAATATAGGACCTGATTAAATCACAAACCCCCACCCCTAAAAAATTATCTGATTTCTGTCCCTCCTCTTACTTCTTTTATTTTATTTTATTTTTTTATTTAATTTATTTTTTTTTTTACTTTATACTATATTATATTATTTTATTCAATTTTTAATTAATTTGTGTTTTATTTAAATATATATCTTATTTATTTAATTACTAATTTTTGTGCAAGCAGTCAAATATATATACAAGTATATTTATAAAAGCCATGATCGAACTACTATACGATTTGGATATGAGCCAGATGAGATTAAACAATATCTTAATGCAAGATATGTAGGTGCACCAGAGATGGCATAGTGACTTTTTGAAATGTATTTACACAAAGAAGTTTCTAATGTTGTAAGACTGGCTTTGCACCTACTCGGAATACATCTAGTAGTTTTTGATCCAAATGACAAAGCTGCAGAAATCCTTTCTTATGCAAAACGTCAAAGAACAACTCTAACTGTATTTTTTAAAACCTGTATGACTATTAAATTTGCATGCCAATTTATGTATAAAAAGTTTTTACAACATTTTGTGTAAAACAAAAATAGCAAGTCTTGGACAGTTTGAAAAAAAGGGTTTGCTATTAGTAGAATATATTTTGCAAATCTATTGGCCAGAGGACGATTTTATTTTCGACTTTTACTTACCTTGGTTCGTGGCCTACAACCAT